CAAAAAGTGTAGCTATATGTGTCAAGAGATACACCGCTGTGACTTGCTATCACTAGTATGTGACATCATCATTATATTATTTCACTCTTACTTCATAGCATCCTTCTATGATGTCAACCTTGTATCTTTACGTAATACTGTTCATAGTGTTCACTACTTTTTCAATACCTTTGTAATTGCTGCGCTATTCACTGCATATCTGCTCATTGTTTTCTTTTTACTCAGAGAGATTACCGTATGAAACAGATGCAAGGACAAATCGTTGAGAAGGAGACAGAAGAGAAGAGAACAGTGGAGAATATTCTTAGTGGATATTGCAGAGTGTGAAGAATACAACTCACTCGAGGTTACACATCTTTAGTGGATAGTATACATAGTTGGTGTAAAAGATATATAGATAGATATATAATAATGTTTGTTACTATTGAGAGAGAAATAAAATCACGTGCAATAAATGACGGAATTGAGCTTGAAGAAATAATAAACAAGGTAAGGCCATAACATACGTGATCCAACTACACAGTCACCAATCTTTCTGAATCGTATCCTTCGCTCATTCTCAATTTTACGTTGCACTATTAAAAAAAGCGGTCGTATGTAAATTGTAGAGCTTTTCACACTGCATCTTATAGTGTATTTTGTTTTTATTTTAAAAGAAAGCGATTAGGTGAAAAAAAAAGATGAAGAAAAAACAAATGAATTCATTTTGTGAGAGAAAAAAAAATCGTTCTTGTACAGTTAAAATTTGATCAATAAAAATTTTGGCCACTTTGGAAGCAAAAAGTGACCTTGTGTAAATTGTAGAGCTTTTCATGCTGCATCTTGTGGTATATTTTTTTTTTAAATACAATATATTAAGTGAATGAAAATTGAAATGAAAAGTGCGGTCATTATATCTGGCGTATCTGTTAGCTTCTGGCTCTGAGGAACCTGTTTGTAGTTTACAATTTCTGGAAATGGGAGTCACTTGTGAGTTCTAGTTTAGAAGAAGCCAAGGACCTTTAGTAACAAGTAGAAAAAGAAAAGAAATGATATTTATATATCGTAGATGGTCGAGAATGCACAAAAGTGCATGATCAAATGTGTCCATAGTCTTTAGAGTATGCGCTTCAAGAAATGAAAATATTGACACTGCACTCTCAAGGTATTTTTCATGAAATATTGTTATGATAATCAAATGTAAAACGGATAATCAATGACAGTACACAGTGTCACAAATTAATAATGAATCCAAGAAATGATATGTTTTTATTGAAGATTGAAACACTTACTTCTATGTTTTCACCGTGTTCAAGAAGGTTTGTTGTGAAATAAAAAATTGAAAGAAATCTATTGCTTTGTTGGTTAGGAGGAGAACAAATGTTTCTTTTGTGTTGTCATTGTTGACATAAAACACTTCTTTTTTTCAGACAGAAGAGCTCACCAGTACTTGAAGATTTTTTTTCTTCTGTTGCCATTCATATGAAATACAATCGTTTGTATTTATTTGAGCAATAAAAATACTAGAATGAGCAATAATTAAAATACGATTTAGCAGTAGTATTTGAGCAACAAAAAAACTTTATTTCAGCAATAATTTTTGAGCAATAAAAGAACTTTATTTGAGTAATTTTATATTATTAAATGTACAATAATTAATTCATTAAGTAGCAGTAGCAATTTCATATTTTAGTAATGAAACAAAGAAAAACTACATTATTTTATATGAATTAGATAAATAAAAAAGTTATTTACAATTGAAAAAAAAGAAAAATGGAAAAACAGTATGTTATTATGTGAATAAAGCTTTTTTTCTTTAGATAGTCTGTCTCCTTTTCTTATATTTTATTTCGTAAAATTGAAAAAAAGACGTATTTTTATATATAAATGAATTCATATTGCTCTTTGTCAACGAGTGGTTGATGTGACACATCAATACTAAACTACTACTTTATTGGAGAAATGGTAATTATATATATGAATGAGCTAGAAAAACATCGAACACCCTAGACAGAAAACATGAAGAAGAAGGAAATATACCTGAACAACATCAAGAGAAGAGAAATATCCAAGTGAGGAAAAGGAAAGAAGAGAGAAAGAAAATGAAAGATATATGTACAGTTTGATTACGTTATTTTTGATAGTTTTGCTCAGTTTGCTGTATTCATGTAGAAACTCGCAAGTTCCTTATTTTAATACAGTTGTACAAATCATCGATTACCCTATCGAACCATATAGTTTTCATTTTATTTCCGTTGGATCTGGCCCAAAAATTTGATAAATCTTAAAAAGCAGTCAAAACCATTTTTTTAACCAGCAATTTTCAGATCATTTCTGAGATAATTTTCTCGATGGCTATTATTTACTGGGGTATTGAAACTTTTTATTCTTATATAGAATAATAAACCGTTCTTTTCTCTATCAAACTATATAGTTTTTGGATAGACTTATTTTATATTTCTACTATAAAATTAGTGAATTTTTCGGAAGCTTTTTCGTGAACTTTTTTCATATATGGTTTTCGGCTGCTTTTTAGAGAAATTTTTGTTTTTGAAACATTCACTCTTCTTTTCTTCAACATGCAGCTGAATAGAGCGTTGATGTCTCCATCATTTTTACAGTTTTGGTTAGACTTACATTGAGTCTTGCAAGTGAGTTTTTGCGAAAAATAACATAAACTTGGTTTTTTACTGGCACAAAGATGGACGAAAAGTTACCACCAAACATCCCTTTTCTCCTCAATTTCGAATCACTTCTGTTTGATTTTTTTTGCACGAGGAATTGTGATGAATCTCTTCCATTTACATCAACTTTCGTTATTATTGAGCTTACTGTTACTAAAATATAACTGTGCAAAAGTTCCGTTTCAGCGCTTCTCGGACTTCATCAAATTTTTCAACAAGATGCAAAATAAATGAAATGAAAATTATATAGCTCGATAGAGTAATTGATGCCCTATCCGACTATACCAAAATAAAGATCCTCCGGTGTTTTGCATAAATACAGCAAACTGTACAAAACTATCAAAAATAACGTAATCAACTGTATATATATATATAATACGATTCGATTTCGAGTTTGGTTGGGTTGGGTCTACACATATTTCATACCATAATGGGTTTCATTTTATGACCCAACCCAACCCGAAATTGAATCATATTCTACATATACCTATAAATATATATTCTTACTTGGCGTGACTTGACCCAATCCAACCCTAACTTGGCCTTCAACTTCATTTCTATATTCTTTTTTTAATTAGAAGAGTTTTCTATGATTATCCTTAAAATCATTCGATTAAATTTCCATGAAATTTTTCCTATAGTCACTTTATTTGAATTTCCTGAAAGTAGGAATTTACCATCGCATGCACTATACATATACATTGATGCGTTTACGCATGTGATTCTCTTCTCATTAATATTTCTTACGAACAGATTAGCGGATACTTAAAATCGCTCAATTAACGAAATGAAGAAAATAGCATTTAATTTTTTATACAAAAAAAGATGATCGACAATTCGTAGAATTTTTTTAATGAAATTAGATATCTGAGAGATAAACATATACTATTCTAAGTAAATATTAATCAAGCAAATATGACTCCCTTTTTCTTCATAAAAGATCTATTTCGCATAGACACAATATCATACCGCTGTTAATTTCATTTTTGTATTACATTTCATACTGCATAGATAATTACAGTGATACATTATGTTCTCCCGTATAAAATCCAAGCATTATTATGTTTTGTCAAGAAAAAATATAATTGAACTAGTTCAGCGAAGATCACTCTAAATATATTTCAAAATAAGCGAATTCTTAAAATTTTGTAATGTCCTTGTCAAGTAGATGAATGAGTTATTTTCGAGCTTTTGACGTGACACCATACTACATCGATAGTAATTAAGCAAAATGTGTTTTAACTTAAAACATATTTTATTATTTAGAAAGTAGAATATGACCTGAAAGAGAAAACAGAAAATGACCGAAATTCTTCTCCCAAAAAGTAGAAAGCGTTTTTTGATCCCCGATCAATTCTGGAATATTTTCCTAATATCATGATGAGAAAGGCTTATAGTCAAATCCGATCATTTAGAACAATTTAAATAGATGAACACAATTATTTGACGCATGTTGTTTTAGCTGAGTATTTTTTTTTTATTTTCACTGTTTTCAATACTTATCATAGTTTGATAGGCATCGTATTGATATAATGATAAATTAAGATCATGTTATACATATTTTTTTCGTCCCTTAAGAGATTCATCAAATTAAGGTTAAACGACGAAGTAGATGACTATGGCAACTATCAGGAATAGTTTTAATGACTAGGTTGCAGTTTCTAACTTCAAGTTATATAATTATCATTTATCCAAATATGAGCGAAAAGAATTTCGGATTTTTCTTAATTTTTAGTGATTAGTGATAATATGACATGAAAATCCACATATGTGTGTAGTCTCCATTGTGATTACATCAGCGACTGAATCCAATGAATTTCATTTCGAATGTATAAAGAAAAATTGTAAATCAACGAAATTTTCAAAGCAAATTCGAATATTTTAGAGAAAGAGTTCATTGAAATTTATTCCATTTACATCAAATGTAATTATCTTTTCTTACAAAGTCTGATACACTTATCGTCTTTTCAGAATATCTGCTCACTTGTTAGAGTCTTGAGCCGAACCAAAATATGGCAAATATGGATTTATAAATTAAGAAATGTTGTGTGCAAATAGGTTCTTATATTATAGAAATTATTCGAATATGTTAGTCATTTGAATTCTACTGAAATATCTTGGTATCTATAGATGAACTATCGATCATAGTTAACGATTTTTTTATTTTGTCGATAAGAATGAATAAGATCAACGACTATTTATTTAAATGATGTTTCCTACTTTAATTTAATAAAACTTGATCGTTCTTTGTTATGCTTCGTGGTATCTGTTTAGAGAAAAGAATAACCGATAAAGAATTTCAATATTTATTATAAATTGAAATGTCATAGGACTAACTTAACAACTATTCGTTTCTGCTGTAATATTGAAGCGTTGAATTCGATGATTTCTTTGCTCACTAACATACATATTTCCTTGCTTATCAAGTCCTATACTATGCGCAGATTTGAATTGGCCGATACCATCACCCCATCCATTTCCGCCAGCGACAGTCACACCACTGATCGCATCAGGACTCCATTTCTGAATTCTATTATTGTCAGTGTCAACAACATAGATATTGTTATATTGATCGACTTCAACATCCCATGGACTATTCAATTGATTAGCAGCTGAACCTTTTCCATGACCTCCAGCTACCGTAATACCTTCGCTTGCATCTTTTTTCCATTTTTGTATTCGACTATTCCACAAATCGGCAATATAAATCGTTTCGCATTGGTCGATAAAAATACCACGTGGTCCACTCAATTGATTTGCTTTCGAACCGCCAATACCATTTCCTGCTATGATAATACCTTCATCTGTTTCTGAGTTCCATTTCACAATACGGTCATTGTAAAAGTCAGAGATAAATAATGAGTTTGTATCTTCATGAACATAAATACCCTGACAAGCTCCTATCTGATTAAGTCCTTTACCTTTGCCATATCCTCCGGCTACTGTAATGCCACTAGTAGCACCTTTTGACCACAGTTGAATTCGATGATTATCATCATCAGCAATGTAAATATTTTCATTTCTATCGACATAAACTGCTCGAGGCATACTTAATTGATTCGAACGATTGCCTGCACCATTACCACCGGCTACTGTAATTCCACCAGTCTCGAGAGCTTTGAGATTGAATTTTTGAATTCTATGATTGTCAGTATCAGCAATATAGATATTATCGTGTTTAGTATCAACAAATAAACCAAATGGTGAGCCTAAATGTTTTGAATCCGATCCGAATTTATTATCCGAGCCAACAATAGAAATTCCTTTCGTTGACCATTGACTATTTTCACGACAATTGTGCTGTCTTCCATTGTCACAATCGATAACAGCTAAATAAAAATAATCTTATTATTTAATGAAGTACGCTGTAAACAACTTTTCTAATCTGTTTCATATTTGAAAAACAAACTATGATTTATTTAAGAGACATATCGATAGAAGAATCGACTCACGTATATTCGTATCCCAATCACAAACTTGGATCTGCTGATTCCAAACTAATCCAGCTGGACATGGCATCAAATAAGCTGTACCATGTGCACATTGATAGAATGAATGTTTATCGTTCGGCTTTGCAAAATAACCATTATTTGGACATTGAAAAGCATTAATGACTGAATGAAATAACAAGAATATCAATGCAAAACTTATTTTCATGGTCATTGCTAGATTGTGTTGATTCGCAAAGAAAAGAAGACAAAGTAAAACTATTCTTTTATTCCTGCTTTGATATTGCCTCGCAAAGAAGCATGTGTTCTAATTCCCAAATTGAAATCAATTATAACGATAAGGCGCAAACAATTTCTTTTCGTTCGATGCATTAATAAGTACGAACAAAACACAAGCTTAAGTTATAATAACTGAATTAAAATGATGTCATTCAAATTGATTCGAACTTTTCGACAAAATTAGATCGGTCTATTTGCTTTTTTAGTTCTCTTTCAAATAGAATAAGCGAAAATATCATCACAAGAGTAGTTGTATTCAAATAATCACAATGCTTGATTCATGTAATTGAGGGTAGGGTGTGAATGTGGGTCTTCTCTTTATCCACACCCACACCCAAAAATTGTTTCATTACTCAAGTTTTGTATTTGAGTGCGTTGTCTTGCTCCGATCTTGAACATGAGCAATATTACTTTTTGGAGTTGTGGATGAGATGACTTGCAATCGTTTGAATGCAATAATGGTCGCTGATATTCTCGCGAATGAATACTCATGTCGCACGTTTGTTCACAGTATCTCGCTGCTTATAAAAACCGGTAGTAGCACCTACGACTTTTGATTTTAGCTATAAATGATTGTAGAGAGTGTTTTCTACCAAAATTTGAATTATTTATTAGAAATAATTCAAATTAACCGAAAAGAAAATGACTTCAGAATATATCTTTCGAATAAAAATCTATCTCATAACTAGGGCTGATTTAAGTTCTGTTACTAGTACCAGAAGCTCAGGCGTATCAACAACGACTTAATTCTCTCAGCTTTAACAGACTTCAAAAATATTCTTACGTTTTGATAGAACACTTTCGAAAACACCGCCGATAGTTATTACATGAGTACCTAGTCGACCACGGTCATGACACTAAAACCATTGTATATCGTCATCCTCTCTCTATTCTTTGGAAGTCATCAACTCTTGAATTCTCTGTCAATGAACATTCTTCGGCTCCAATTTTCGTCCTTGAGTTGAATTGGTCCTTTTACACTCACATCCTTCTGCTAGTATTGGCATCGAATAGAGGTAAATATTCCTCGGATCAATCCGTTTGAGTTTGTATTATATCTTCCACAAGGAATACATGTCCACCTCCATCATCAAACAGTTTTGCGTTCTGAAAAACTTCCGGAAAAATTGCTTATTCAAGGATAAAGACTTTTACATCTAACTGTATATAAATTATTTTGAACAGAAAACAAAAAAAATGATATTCACTGCTCGAGATGTTGACGTAGGTTCTATAGATTGACAATCAAATAATGGTTGACTAAGACGTTCAATAAAACTACTATTGAATGTAGATATATCTTCGGATACTTTTGATTCTGTTTGATCTAATACTAATTTGGATTTTTCCATAGCATCTCCTATTGATATTTTTCATTGTTCAGTACGTTTAGCAGGTGTTATTATTGACTGACGACCCGTATGACAATAAACAATCGATGATTGATATTTAGTAGGAATTTGAGCATGTATTTGAGCATCTTTGTTGAACACATTCTTCATACTATTCAAGTGTTTCTGGTGAATCACGCATCTAATATCAATAATTATATTAAAATGAATTTATATAAGATATGTCGGCAACTCGAAATTTGAACAAATTTTGTTTTTTTTTATTTATAATTATTGACATCTTAAAATAATTTTTTTACTTGTAATTCATCATCTTCAATATGAATAATTTCTGATTCATATATATTCGTAGATTCGATTATATCATTGTAAGTTCGTGATGGAACAATAAAATGCTATGAAATAAAATAAATCAATATCAATTATCGAAAAAAAAATCAATCTTTAATTTACAGTAGCATTACTAATAATTGGCATATGGAATAATTGTGAACCAAATTCAGGCATTTCTTTAATTATTTGAGATTTGGGTGAACGAAGAAGAAGAGATTTACCTTGATAGATTTTATTTGCAATACCTTTTGATAATAAAGAATATATAAATAGTTGTCTTTAAGGTTTATACTTGTTCTTATCTTGTGTTTTAGTATCAGTATTTTATTCAGGAATACCAACAACATAAGTTTCTGCTATATGTTTAACATTAATCATACGTGGTTTTTCTTCTTTTAAACCTAAATCTGGACGGTCAATACTTTTAAATAATATCCAACCCAAACATAAATCATCATCAGTATGAATTTTTGATGAAGAAAGTTCACGATTAATTGATTTATTATCAATAGATTTAATTGTTGGTAAATAAAAAAATGTTGTATCTTTACAAAGATTTGACAACCATCTTAGTATCATTTGATGATAGCTAAGCTTATCAACTATTGAAGAAAAATCATTTAAAATTATGTTGATATAACGAATGCGTTTGAATAAATCAGTCTTTCAGTATTTTCAAAATAACTTTTTCACTATATCCGGCTGTGCTTTTTTTTTGCTTAGAGATTCACCGTTTAATTCTCTGGAAATCTATCTATCTTATGTATAACTTAAGCATGTATTTGAGTTTTTGGATAATGAAAAGTAAAGATTTTCGAAATGTTGTATTGTCAAAATACGAAAATGGTGATATTCCAACAGATATATTTCATGATTTACATGGTTCTATAGGTCTGACTACAATTAAAAGATGGAGCAGAATGATTTGTTAGTGTGACTCCATCCAAATATCGAGTCCACTTATGGTCAGGACCAAGCAAAATATTCAAAAAATAACAAATCATTTACGCCCAAAAACTGTCGATGGAGCTTGATATTTCTGCAGCAAGCATTCGGTGAATATCGAATAATGATCTAGGACTTCGACTCTATAAGAAGATAATCGATTCTGATGATCATAGAGTCAAACAAAAAAGTTCGCCCATTAGACTCGAACAAATTGTTGAAAAGAAAAAAAAACGATGAAAAGTTCTTTGACATCGATAGTATTTATGAAAGGTTAAAATGATCAAGTGTTGGTAATCAATCGTGCTGAGACTGATCAAAAGATTAGTAACAAGTAGAAACGACAGTTGCTGCAGAAAGTCAAGGATATTATACAGTGGATAATCTTGGATGAAGGAACAATTGATTATACTATCTATGTTAGGATACATTTCTTCAACATCATTTTACTTAATCCTCCAGACATGCAATAGGAAAGTAGTTCATATATTATAACCAGACGTTATTGATATACGGTCTGTGTTCGTATGCCAACAACATCTGTAGCGCGGAGAGAGGATAGAATATTTAAAGCGTCTATCACAGTTAGAGACATGCAGAGTCACACTTTTTTTAAAACTCTGACCCCATTCTGAAGTCTGTGTCTGTGGATGCAGATTTCTGTTCCATACGCTTCAGCATACTTTTTAGATCATGTTTCTCAAAAAATATGATACATTGAAAATGTAACTAGCATGTCCGGGAATTTTTAACTCAAAAAAAAAATGTTTGCTTCATGAGATTCTCGCATAGTAAAGGAAACATTCTTTTGAGCTGAAAATTTCAGGACATTTTAATTACAAGTAGACCTATTAAAATAGCTATAACTTTGGATGAAATGCCTAAGAGCGTTTATGTTCTTGCAGTTTTTCATAACTCACTTGGATCTACTATATACACAGACTCCGAACTCAAAAATGATTTATCATTTAGAACGGTTCCTTCGTGAGAGGCTTATTTATTGTGATGCATTCGCTAAATAAAAATGTAATATCATTTCGAGAAAATTTCCTTTGAAATATATCAATAGCATTAGTCACAATTGTCATTTCTTCGATATATTCTTTATTAGCGATTGATTCAACAATACGTGTTATATTTTCAAATGCTTTGTTTGGTTGAATTTCATCAACAACAACAACAACAGATGAAATTAGTTCATGAGATGAAGAAATAGATTTCGAAATAATTTCTTTATCGAATAATGATTGTTGTTGATATTTTAATTCATCATAACTTGATATACTTTTGTCATTGAATAATTCCGATGAATATGAATCTACTAAACTATCTTGTCGTTTAATTATTTTATGTTTTTGTGCATCATTCGATAATTGTTCTAATAATTGAATAGTACTTTGATGAAATTCAAGATTGAATTGTTTCTCTTGAATAGATGCAGTAACATTAAATGCAGGGGCGGCGCGAGCGGGGGGGGTTGGGGGAGGGTACCCCCCCCCCTGCTTTGGAAAGTTCGACTGCAGCTTTCTCCGATTTTGAGAAAAACTGTCCCAAAATTACTCCATTTTGGTAGAAAATGCCTTAAAATTTCTCCAGTCAATGAGAAAATGTCCCAAAATTGCTCTAATTTTGGAGAAAATGTCTCAAAATTTCTTCAATTTGGCAGAAAATATCTTAAAAATTCTCTAGTTGGTGAGAGGATATCTCAAAATTTCTTGAATTTTGCAGAAAATGTCTCAAAATTTTTCGAGTTGGTGAGAATACGTTCCAAAAACTTCTTCGATTTTGGAAAAAATGTCTCAAAACTTCTCCGATTTGAGAGAAAATGTCTTAAAATTTCCCCAACCAATGAGGAAATGTCTCAGACTTTCTTCAATTTGGGACAGAATGTCTTAAAATTCCTCGAATTTTGAAGAAAATGTCTCAAAACTTCTCCGATTTGAGAGAAAATGTCTTAAAATTTCTCCAGTTAATGAGAAAATGTCCCAAAATTTCTTCAATTTTGGAAAAAATGTCTCAAAATTTCTCCAAGTTTGGAGAAAATGTCTGAAAAATTTTTCAACTTCCGAGAAGATATATTTTGAACTTCTACCGGTTCTGAAGAACCTTTATTACAATGTTCTCCATTTTTTGTAATTGATAACAGAAGAATCTACCTATCTACTTGCTTTCAAAAACACTAGTAAAAAAAAGGTACTAGGTACTTACAATTTAGAGACTTTTTTCTATTTTCTCCCATTTTTTAACACCCCCCCCCCCCTGCTCTGAGCTCTTCGCGCCGCCCCTGATTAAATGGTCTTAAACTTTTTATTATAATAGATTCTATTCGAGACTCAATATTATCTTAATCTATTTTTTCAATAAGTTGATTAAAAATATTTTGTGTTCTGATATTTTCATTTTAAATAATTAATAAGATCTTCAACTTCAATTAATGACTGATCATATTCTGAATATTTTCAAAATATCGTATACGATTAATAGGTAATTCTTGTAATTCATCTTCTTTTTTGTTTATTTAATTGTTCATCAATTAGTTTGATAATTTTCGTAAAATTTCCATTTAATAAATTAATTAATTCTTCGTGTTTAAATGATCGTTGAAGTATTATACGAATTTCATCAAAACGATCACCTACTAAATTAGTTAATTCATCTAATGTTAATGATCGCTTGAGAATTCGTTCAATATTTGTTATATCAATAATATGAGGTCCTAAAAGAAACAATATTCAAAAAAATTACTTAGAGCTTACTGAAAGTAGTAACAAAGGTATTTTAATCCTTTATAAAAAGCTGTTAGCGTAATCTTTCTGGAATTAAAATATGAAACGCGATGCAGCTACTGTTGCTAAACATAGAGGAATTATTCTATTTATTTCAGGGTACATATCTTCACCATCCTTTCACTTAATCCTCCAGAAATCCAGCAGCTCATATAAAGTCTTTGATCGTATATCAATAACGTCTGTCACGACCTGTGATGAAGGAGAGACATTGCTAGGGATGTCTGTGATAGACCATTTCTAACATGCCTTTAACGGTATGTCATAGATTGTATGGGGAAAGTTTAAAGAACCTCTCTCTCTATTTGGCCTGACAACAAAAACCATGATCAATCTTCAATTAATATTATAATAAAAAATTTCAATAAGAGATGATTTTTATGATTTGTGACGATCATAGTAGATCACATTTTGTCTTCGATGTATATCTGTCTAAGGGACGTTCCCAGTGAATGGCACCCAATCTTGAAAAAAGTTTTCGCTTTTCTCCAGCATCTTATTGTTCGCCAATTCCCAAAAAAAAAACGCTCGATCCGCTTCTTATCTTCTTTAATCTCTAACTGTCTATACATATTAAGGTATACAAAAAGTAGTGACTGTAGAACAAAAAAGAAATAGAGAAACAAACTCATCAAGTCATTATTGGATAAAATGTTCGAAATAATAATCATTAAGTTTTTTTATAAGGAATTAAAATACTACACCACTACTGTTGTTATGACTTAGGTAATATAGAAATAATACTATACCTGTTTCTTTAGAAGATAATTCTCGACTGATTAAACTTTCGATAGTTAATTTATCTCCATTGAGTAAATTCGATCGTTGTAAATCGCTTAATGATTTGCTCAAATCATATTCGATATGAAAGAAACGAGAACTAGCAAATCGTTCAAGTTCATTACTATTTAAACTTTTTTCTATAGCTGTTTCGATTTTGGATAAAGTAAAACAAATGGGTTGTTTTAATATTCGATCAAAAATGAATAAATCTTCGTTAGAATCATCTTTTTCAAAGTCTGTTAAATATATTTGTGGCATTTCATTTATATATAATTGATTAGATGATAATTTTTTGTTAAACTCTTCTTTTACTGTATTGTTCTGTTGATCTGTTAGATGCTACAAAAACAAAACGATTGATGGATAGAAAAATGAGATGAATTAATTTTAAAAATCATATTTACTTAAATTTCATCTAATGTTAAACGACGCTCTAAAACATCTTCTAATTCTTGAACTGTTGTATCGATAGAAGGAGTATGTATAAGTTGAGATGCAGCCAAATCGATTATATTGACTGGTTTCTATGTCAAACATTCAGTACATGTCTAAAGACAAAAAAGAAATTACTCGTTTAGTGTAACTTATGTACATAATATATTCAACTACTCATTTGATTTCGGGTCGAATTCAACCTAAAAACTTTTATCAATGATTCCTGTACATTTTTTAAATCCATTGTATGGTTCCTTTGATAAAATACAGCTATGAAAATGTCATCTTTTTTTCATATTGCAGATAGGAATGTACGTTGTTGGTGTAAATATTGAGCAATCAGTCACTGATACAGGCATGATGTGTATTGTTCACATGATAGACCGACATGTAACTTTCGTTCTCGAAAACGGTTTTATTTTGCTGATAAGTGATTGTATATCACTCAGAAAATTACTAAACATTTTCGGTGAAAAAAATCTGATCGAGAGAACTCTTACCCACATATTTCCGAGAAAATGTTTTGTACCATACATCCCCAGAACTAGTTTCGCACGCTGATTTCGAGTATACTATTGATTTTTAACAGAAATGCTTTGAAGTTTGAAAACAAGAAATTTAGTAGAAAAATCAAAAAGTTTTTGAAAACCTGTGGTGAGGTTGATTGGTACTAAGGGATTAGCGTTTGTTTTACTAAACTTATGCGGACACGTTTCTAAGTATCAAATCGCTTTCAAATCGGGACTGTGTGCATTATACAGATCCAAATGAACTAGGAATACCCTAAAAAGAGTGCGAGTTAATAACTAACTGTCGCCGAGGGTGTGGATGTGGGTGTATGGGTGTTTTTGTCTCTAGGAGTAGTAGAATTCACATCCACACTCACACTTATGGGTATGTTGATAGTGAGCACTATCTATTAGGCTGCAATAAACTGCTTTAATAGCTGTAGAAGAACACATCTCCGGTCATAAACTCATCGTCGAACTATAAAGAAAAAACATTTTTAATACTAAAACAGATGTTGTCATACGCCTTGTCAATAAAGTCACAAATAGCAACTGACTGTTCTAGCAAGAAAAACTAACTGCATTTCATATGAATGACAACAGAAGAAAAAAAATCTTCAAGTACTGGTGAGCTCTTCTGTCTGAAAAAAAGAAGTGTTTTATGTCAACAATGACAACACAAAAGAAACATTTGTTCTCCTCCTAACCAACAAAGCAATAGATTTCTTTCAATTTTTTATTTCACAACAAACCTTCTTGAACACGGTGAAAACATAGAAGTAAGTGTTTCAATCTTCAATAAAAACATATCATTTCTTGGATTCATTATTAATTTGTGACACTGTGTACTGTCATTGATTATCCGTTTTACATTTGATTATCATAACAATATTTCATGAAAAATACCTTGAGAGTGCAGTGTCAATATTTTCATTTCTTGAAGCGCATACTCTAAAGACTATGGACACATTTGATCATGCACTTTTGTGCATTCTCGACCATCTACGATATATAAATATCATTTCTTTTCTTTTTCTACTTGTTACTAAAGGTCCTTGGCTTCTTCTAAACTAGAACTCACAAGTGACTCCCATTTCCAGAAATTGTAAACTACAAACAGGTTCCTCAGAACCAGAAGCTAACAGATACGCCAGATATAATGGCCGCACTTTTCATTTCAATTTTCATTCACTTAATATATTGTATTTAAAACAAACAAAATATACCACAAGATGCAGCATGAAAAGCTCTACAATTCACACAAGGTCACTTTTTGCTTTCAAAGTGGCCAAAATTTTTATTGATCAAATTTTAACTGTACAAGAACGATTTTTTTTCTCTCACAAAATGAATTCATTTGTTTTTTCTTCATCTTTTTTTTTCACCTAATCTCTTTCTTTTAAAATAAAAACAAAATACACTATAAGATGCAGTGTGAAAAGCTCTACAATTTACATACGACCGCTTTTTTTAATAGTGCAACGTAAAATTGAGAATGAGCGAAGGATACGATTCAGAAAGATTGGTGACTGCGTAGTTGGATCACGTATGTTATGGCCTTGCCTTGTTTATTATTTCTTCAAGCTCAATTCCGTCATTTATTGTACGTGATTTTATTTCTCTCTCAATAGTAACAAACATTATTATATATCTATCTATATATCTTTTACACCAACTATGTATACTATCCACTAAAGATGTGTAACCTCGAGTGAGTTGTATTCTTCACACTCTGCAATATCCACTAAGAATATTCTCCACTGTTCTCTTCTCTTCTGTCTCCTTCTCAACGATTTGTCCTTGCATCTGTTTCATACGGTAATCTCTCTGAGTAAAAAGAAAACAATGAGCAGATATGCAGTGAATAGCGCAGCAATTACAAAGATATTGAAAAAGTAGTGAACACTATGAACAGTATTACGTAAAGATACAAGGTTGACATCATAGAAGGATGCTATGAAGTAAGAGTGAAATAATATAATGATGATGTCACATACTAGTGATAGCAAGTCACAGCGGTGTATCTCTTGACACATATAGCTACACTTTTTGCTTTCAAAATCGGCTAAATCCTGAGCAACCAGATTTCGATCCTGCAAAAAGTCTTTTTTTTTCAGTACACAACCAATGCTTTTTTTTCTATTTACTGCGTATAATCTTTTATTTAAAAAAACCAAAGCACACCAAAAGATGCAGCGTGGAAAGCTCTACAATTTACATAGACTAATTTTTTTAATAGTTATACTTTTCCTTTTCAAAAGAGACGAAATTTCGACTGATAGAATTTCGATGATGTGAAAACGATATTTTGTTTTGTAGAAGATGAATTCGTTTCTTCTTCTTCTTCTACCTTTTTATTATCTGATATCTACCACTTAAAAAAAACAAAATATATCACAAGATGCAGCATGAAAAGCTCTACAATTTACGCAATGAAGCTTATTGTAATTGTGTTCAAAGAAAGCAAAATTTAATACGATCGATTTCCGCACGATCGAAATTGGTTCGGTCAAAATTTTACCCATGTTGAAAACCCAAAAAGTCAAGTATAAAATGAGCGATCTTATGTAAATTGTGAAGTTTTTCACGCTACATCTTGTGGTATATTTTGTTTTTTTTTAGTACAATATATTAAGTGAATGAAAATTGAAATGCAAAGCGCCGCCATTATATCTGGTGTACCCGTTACATTTGAATTTTCGATTCTCACAATACATTATGCAGTTTGCAGTTCTTAGTAACTCGGCATGTATTACCATGTTTCAAGGGATGAAAAACGGAACTGGCATCTGTACTTGCAGATGTATTTATTCTAAGAGGTGTAAGTGCTTTGAAAATAATCATGTATGTTTTGGCGAATAGTCAAAAATTCTTGGTTTGACCTTAATCAGTCTTATCAGTTTCAATCATATTCTGAAAGACATTCCCACGATTTGATTATCTATTACTTATCTCATCGAATAGTATGATCATCATCCGTCGCATTGATTTAGAAATAGGTAGAAAAAGTAATTCAGTGGCCCTTTTCATTGGAAATATACTTCGTTGGATATATTGTGAATTGCAAATGTTACCTAATGGTATGGGTGAGAGTGTTGATATTTGCGAAGAGAACATTTACACTCACACCCAAAAATCATCACACGCACCCGCGTACCATTGTACACAACGAAATTGGCGCTAGTATCAACGTTCACACACACCTACCCATTCACCATTTTGAAACTTTGGAATATATCCCAGGTCGAACGTTACGGAGTTCGTAAACGATCGTATACGACCGTATACGGAAAAAATACGGTCGTTTACGACCGTGTTTTGCCGTAATACATGTGATCGTATTACGATCGTATATCTCCGTAACCGTATACGGTCGTATACGACCGTATATGGAGAAAAACGGAGCAAAACGGAGATCGTATACGGCCTCCATTTACTGTCTCCGTAAACGGCCGTTTTTTCGTCCGTATACGATCGTATTGCTCCGTATACGACACGGAGATATACGATCGTAATACGATCACATGTAAATCGTCGTATTTCTCCGTATACGGTCGTTTACGACCGTGCTTGTTCGACCTGGGATAGCTTTGTTGAAGACTGCAAAACAGTATACGACACCGAAAGAGTCGAATATACAGTGGAAGGTTAAGCGGGTCACACGGACGAGCGTTACTTGTATGTATTGACACTAAAAATAACGCTCTCTCTTTCTATGATATTGATTCACTCTTAAGCTGATGTCATGATAGGAAAACTTTGATAAAAAGTATTTGTTATGATATGTGACGATAAAATAATATCATATTTCTCTTTGATGCACATTCACTTGTTGATATCCTTTCTGTTCTCTACTTCCCTTTCTTTCTTTCTTTCTTTTCTTCTTATCGCCTTTGATACCTAATCGTCTATTCATATTAGAGTAAGTGAGATTAATAGCTTCGGAACAAAAAAGAAATATAAAAACGAGTTCAACAAATTTTTATTTCATCAAATATTCGAGATAATCGTCTTCATTGTCCACACACAATTACATTCGTTGAATCCACTAATTAATGGTCTTCTTGTATTCTTTTATATTCAAGAGTCCATGAACTTGATAATAGCACGATGCAATGATTCGGAATCGTCTTGATCAGTTAGTTTTCGTTTGATTAAGTCGAATAACCAAAAATCACATGGTGTCAAATCGGGAGAATTAGGTGGATGTGACATCACTGTAATATCTTCTGAATCAAGATAATTAAGTACTTCTTGATGAAAATGGAGTGTTCCATTATCATGATGAAGTTTAATTGAACGAGTACTGAAATTGGGTCTTTGGTTCTTGATTTCATTAATAACGAGGGACACACAATTATTGATACAATATTCGTGATCGATAGTTTGCCCTCGTTCAACATAATGTATCAAAAGCGAACCAGTTAAATTAAAGAAAATGCATACCAATGTTCTCGGAGCGAAATGACTACGTCGAACTATCGTCGGTAGAGGGTCTTCCTTTTTCACTCAAGCAGCATTCGATGATTTTCTGCCAGTTTTTTATGATAAAACCATGATTCATCGCCTGTCACCACATCACATAATTTGCATGTCCTTCGTTCAAATTTTGGTAAATTTTCTTTACGTATTCGAACTTGTTCAGCTCGTTGAGTATCGGCCAAATGTTTAGATACATAACGAGCGGTAATCTTTTTCAGATTCAAATAATCGGATACTATTCGATATACGGTGCCATGACCCAGGCCAGTTTGTTCTTGCAGCTCATCGACTGTAACAAAAGGATCATCATCGATAAGGCTGTGAACTTGTTCAATATTTTCAGAAGTTGCCTTGGTCACGGGTCTACCAGGTCGATCTTCGTCTTCAACCTCTTCTCGACCTTCACGAAACTAGTGAGACCATCTAGCAACTGTTCTATGAGAAAAAGCTTCGTCACCAAAAAACAGTGTATAATTCATCATGAATAGTTCTTGCTTGAATATCAAGTGCAGTACGCACATTAATGTAGAAACAGAAATTCTCCTTATCCATGTGAATAGGCGTGCATGATGTGAAACTTAATCTAACTTTAGCTCTTTTACTTTCTTGAAAATATTAACGAACTGCACATACATACTAAATAAACAAGACACGTGTCTCTCTATATGTATATGAGTAGACGATTAGGTATCAAAGACGGCGAGAAGAAAAGAAAGAAAAGGATGCAGAGAATAGAAAGTACATCAATAAGTGAATATGCATCAAAGAGAAATATAATATTATGTTATCGTCACATATCATAACAAATACTTTTTTATCAAAGTTTTCCTATAATGACATCAGTTTAAGAGTGAATTAATATCAGAGAAAGATAGAGCGTTATTTTGAGTACCACCACATATAAAAAGAAAATTTCTTTCAGCTTACTATATATTAATTAAATGCCAGTGCCACTACTTTTGGAATGACCTAAGTATATAAAAATCAGTCAAATAGATGATCATCGATTGAGCAGAGTCGGTCGTGGCTTACGTGGAATGACTCATACATAAACACTTTCTATTGTGTGCACAATCTTCAGAAATTAATATCTATACAACAGCTAAATGGGAGTATTTTCCAGATTTCCAGTGATAATTATTCTAGCATTAGTTTTTGCTATTGTATCTTTCACAATATTTATTCTCAACGGCTCTGAACTACGGCTCAATTATCAGCATCCTCCTATAAAATCAGAATTTGCATACGTAACAGCAATATCTGAATACAGCGTGCGGTACATCGTATATACTATGGTCCTTGGACAGTCAATTGTTAATACGAAGACAAAAAATGACATAATACTACTTATTTCCCAAAGCGAACAACATAAGTTTGCCAACTATGAGATCAAAAGCTTTAAAAAAGTCTTTACCTACATTATATTTTTGCCTAACATTACTTTTATAGATGAAAAATACGATCTCTATTGGTTTAAACTCAATGCCTGGAAACTCTCTAATTATAAGCGTATTATTTGGATAGGAGCTGACTGCTTGGTATTAAGAAACATTGATAATGTATTTCTCTTTCCTGCTCCATGTGCCACACATGATATGGAACTCTTCGGTCAACGATCATCTGATTTCGGCGCTGTTTTCAATGGGGATTTTATCATGTTCGAACCCTCGTTAGAAGAATTTCAGAAGCTTGTCCGCCTCAATTATATTATGCAAGCGTTTGTTAAATATTCTGAAATGGCGAATTCATTCGGACAAAGAATTTGGTTTGGGCCTTTCGATCAGGCGTTACTTAATGTCTACTATGGAAATACAATAACAAGATTACCACTGAACTTTCTGTTGCAACCGCCACAGTGTTTGCCAGCTTTTGTCGATGATCCCTCTATACAAGAATATAATGTGATACATTTTGCAAATTTCAAACCAAATATATTGAGAGCAACATCAGTACCTTCTTACTATCGCTTATGGATAAACGTATACAACGATCTGGTAAACAAACAGTTCTTAAATTACTCTATAAAGCAATCCATGACCTTTAATGGAAAGCATCTGAAAAAGAATTGTGAACGATATTTTCTCACAATGCCAGAATGGAATAGAGACTATGAAAAACACTTGATAAAATCTTCCATTCTACGCAAACAACCACGCGAGCTTTGGGTTAATGGAATGTTGCCAATAAAATTGTTTCAAGAATGTGGTCATCGTAGTAATGCTTGCACTTGTCGGACCTCTCCCTGGCTGAAAACAATCAATTTACGTACATATCGCAAGTTACCAGTTAACATAAGCAGAGATGTATTTTGCCGATCTTGAGCTTTCAATATTTCTCCGACTTAATAGACCAAAATCGACGAAATAGACATGCCATTAGGCGTGAAACTCCTCAACATCATTCATAGCGTCTGTGGAAGGTGTGGGATATGGGTGTGGATGTTGGTGGAAGTGTGTGGGTGTGGGTGTGGGTGTGGGTGTAGGTGTGGGTGTGGGTGTGGGTGTGGGTGTGGGTGTGGGTGTGGGTGTGGGTGTAGGTGGAAGTGTGTGGGTGTGGGTGTAGGTGGAAGTGTGTGGGTGTGAGTGTAGATGGAAGTG